ATTTGCGCTAGGAGGAAGGAGGTAATTTGATTTGGCCCACTTCTTATCATGGTTCGAAATTATTAGGTCCATAAAGAAGTTTTCGGCCTATTGGGCCTTTAGGGTAGTTTACGGCCCAATTTGCATAAAAGAATAATTTTTATGGCCCATTAGGGCTTATTGGATTTGTTATGGCCCATTAGGGCTTATTGGATTTGTTATGGCCCATTAAGGTAAACCAATTCATTTTGGATTCATTATGGCCCAAAATGTTAAGCTTGTGAAAGTGGGTCCAATTAGGGCGCATTTAACGATCCTAAGCTCAAAATAGTCAAATTGGAAGCTTATTGGTCTATTAGGCTCAATAAGGAAATCCTAGTCTGTAATGGACTTAAACCAGGATTTTTAGGGTTTCTAATCTTTGGTTGACCATTTGAAGTGTTTGTATAGAGTGTTTGATGAAATTTCTTGTTATATAATAAACATCATGCATACTTTCAAGTTTTAGTCACAAATGTTACTCTTGTTAATGTTTACAAAAACCTTTGAATTCCTAGTTGAGACATCGGGCATACGTGTCAGAGAGCCAAAACCCTAATCTTCGGACATGAGGCCTATTTAAACAATATTATGTCCCTTGGACTTCACCTCAAAGAACCTCCATAGACCTAGAGCATCCTTGTACCCCCAAAGAACCTTATGAGATCATTCTTGAGCTTAAAAGAGTGCATTTGTGACCTTTTACTGTTCATTGCAAGAAGAAGAAGTAGTCAAGCAAGCTTGGATCATATAGGTGCTTCAAGATCCTGCACCAAACTCACCTTACAAAGCTTCTGGAGGTAAAAAAGCTTGCACTTTTCCATCTAAATCCTTAGATCTAGCTAGGGTTTTCTAGTTTTTCCCATTTGGTTGGTTTTGGACCTCTTTTGGTGAGTTAAGATCTCCATAAGATGAGGATGATAGATCTGAGGTCCCTTGGTCGTTTAGAAGCATAAAAATGGGATATTGATGGATATTTAGGCCTCATGAATGTATTAAGAACATTCAAAAGGTCTTAATGGAAGTGTTGGACGATTTTGAGGCATGAAAGGGCATAAAGTTGGCAACTTTATGCCTTAGGACGTTTTAACAGACATAGATCTGACTTTTGTTCGTGAGGAAACCAACCATTAAGCACTTAATGGAGAAAGTGCTTACACTGGGTGTACTCTGGGCGTAATTAGTGGTATGCAGTGCATAGCCCCAAACCCTTAGTACGCTGTGTGTACCAAGATGGTACGATGGCCGTACGCAGCAGTAGTTGGGCCTTAAACTGTTTTGGGCCTTTAAGTGTGTGGGCCTCATTTGGGTATAGGGCTTGGTTGTGTTTTGTGAATTATGGACTTATTCATCTGTATGGGCCATGGATGCAATGGTTGGGCCTTATTGGGCCAAGAGGCCTATGAAGGATATTGGACTTGGACTTGGGGCCCATTAGTAAGAAAATGGTATTTGGGCCTTGGGGAGGGGTTAGGAGGTTGGTTTCCCCTTCATTAATTTTAAAGTTCTAATATTGATTATATTACCTCTATTAATGTCCAGATCGGTGGATTGCGAACTGTTAGGAGGGCAGTGTTTGTATGCAATAGATTGAGGTGAGTCTTCTCACCATACCCATTGGTCTAAGGCACTAAGGTCGGCCTATTATGTGTTAATGGTATATATGTTAACCATTATGTGCTTTATCTGATATGTGATTATATGTTTTTCATGAAGACCCCTGAGGAAGCCCGTATCATTAGATGTAAGACCTTTGTGGGGTAGCCCATGGTCGTCCTAGGTAAAGATCATGTGGGGTAGCCCATGTCATTGGATGTAAGACCATATGGGGTAGCCCATGACAGTCCTAGGTAAAGACCATGTTGGGTATCCCATGACACTATTACAGGTTTTATGCATGGTTTATGTGATATGTGTGTAGCTTTAATTAGATAACAGGATATGTGCATGTGTGGTGTATGGTATGCTCTAGGGAACTCACCAAGCATTTCTCTTACAGGCTATTGATTTGTTGCAGGTACATCTGAGCCCAAGGGAAAGGGCAAGGCGTGATGGCGTAGTGTCCACTCTCTCTCTCTCTCTCTCTCTCTCTCTCTTTCACTATTAGGAACTGGGGACACTCTGGTGTTTTGAATAAGGTGTAATCAATCGTTGATTTGAAAACAATTATGTAGGAATTTCATGGTTTATGCGTTTAGGTTTTATTAATTAAAAGCGAAAAATTTCTTTGAATTTTTGGGTCGTTACAATGTTTCCTGCCCACTAACTCGTTGATACTGTTAACATTCACTTCCTAAATATCAACATTTCAGTTGCCATTGTTTGAATCAATCACAGTTGCCCCACCAAGATCTCAGCTCTTCTCTCTTAAATCTCTCTCCTTCCCCTATATCAGACATTTTCTTTTTAAACGTTTCACACACCTACTTCATCTCTACTCTCTTAATTTTATTAGACAAGCCCTAGATGACGACTATCACCATCAATGGCATTGTTGGCACCACCTTCGTTATCTTCATCCGCCGCCGGAATCTTCAAATCCATCCGCTTTATCAGCCAATGCTGGAATTCTCAATCTGCAAAACTCAACACTCATGTAATGCTTTTGTTTAGTGAAGACAGAGAGTTGAAGAATGACGATGTCTCAAGTAAGCATCGATTTAGGTAAAATCTTGATTTTAGTTCTAATTTTTAATCTCAAGTGTTTTCTTTTGTTCTTATAATTTCTATCTATTGAGGGTCAGAGATTGAGGGTCAAAGTTAGACATCTAAAAGATTGGTAAAAGGCTCAAAAGGTTTGAATTTTTTTTTTCTATTCGCTTTCTTCTTCCAGTTTTCCATTGGTATTGAACTTGATGGTCCTTCGATTGCATCAATTTCTTACCTTTTCCAGTTGATCTTGGATTTCGATTCCATACCAACTATGCGATCATTTGCTTGAGTGAGTGATGTGGGTAATTTTTGGTATTTTTAAATTATTTTGTATATATTTATATTTTTCGATTTTTTTTTGCAAAGGTTTGTGGTGGGTCAATATGCAGATGTCAATTCTTTAATAGTTTTCCTAGTTTCAATCAGTTAAGACGTATTAATTTTGTAATTTTGGTCTGTTTTACAATTCAATTTTAGATTACCTTGGATCTATTGTTTGGGGTTTACCCAAATAGATCCCCAAATCCAATCTAAATGCTTTCCATCCTTCCTCCTCATCTTTTGGTTTGTTAGTATTATTTTTCCCTTCATGACTTTTTCATTATATATCTAACAAGTCACCATTATCTTAGCTATTGTTTATTGTAGCTCTTTAATGAATGTTGGCTATACTACTTTTCTCTATTTCAAGAAGAAATATTTTGATAAACCATGTTTATCAACCTCTTAAAAATGTTTGTTACATGGTTCTCTATGTGTGTATTCATAGTTTTGTGATATTTCATCCTTCCATATTAAAATATAAGCATCTTGAGCACCCAATCTAAGTTTGAGCACTATAAATTCAATTTTGTACTCAAGGAAAATATAGGACGACCCCCAATGATGTGTTCATGTTGAAAAAGTTTTTAGTTGTTCTTCGATCTTTATTACCTTTTTGTTGTTTCTTTTTGTAGGATTGGATGCTCAAGAGATAATTTTTCATACATGTTGTATGTAGACCCATTGTGTCCTCCTGATAATGCACTCTTCTTTCTTTTCTTTCTACTCAGCTTATGCTCTGCTCTTCTTGATAGTTACAGAAAGATTAAAGACCAACATCTATGTCAATTATTATTTAACTTGATTTTTGTTGATTATGTAAGCTTACTAATTTAAATTAACGATTGTATTGTTACAGACAAAACGTTTAACTTTGTATAAAAAAACTGTTTGCAAATTCGTGATTAATGTTTAGGTTTTATAAAATTTCAATGTTATTTTAGGTTTGTCGACTGTGTATTATACGGGTTATAAGCTAGTATATATATAAACTATAATTGAATCTTACATATCTTTAGCATTCAATATCACATAATTTGTTGATTAGGTTTATTTGGTGTGGATATTGCATCCACCTCACATTGCAACAAAGTTAACCGTTTACAATGCATTCCAATGGTATAATCAGAACCAATAAAAAGTTTAATGACATTAACCTCATCTTATTTTATTGGGAAACAATGCCTTTTTTAACGGCTGGATTTTCATCTTATTTTATTGGGAAACGATACCTTTTTTAACGGCTGGATTTTCATATATTTAAACTAGTAACTAAAAAGAAGCTTGAAAAGGGAAAAAACAATTACACAGAAATAGACAAACTTAGTTTTACGTAACAAACCAATTGAATAAAAACTCAACAATAGAATAAAAAGTGTTTATCTTCTAACTCTATTCCTGCTATGAAGACTACTGAATTACAATCTTTCCATAAAACACACTGTAAAGAATTGTATTTATCCTAATTTTTCAGCAAAAACGTAAAAAAAAATTAGTACTTAAGTTTTGTTCTTTTAACTGTATATCAAGGTGTGTTGAAGGTGTCCCTAATGAAGAGGTTGATGTTCATGTCTCATGATAGACAAATATATATAGATTAAGAAGTCCAACTAGAAAATAAAAAAAAAATGTCTATCCACAGTTGAAACCCATGAGATAATTTTATTATAGAATAATTAAAAATAATTACTAAAATGGTCGTATGGTTTACCAAAATGATGTGTTTCGTCTCTATATTTTTTTTTTTTTGGATTCACACCGTTCTTGTTATCTGATTTTTTTGCGTTTTTGGTTCCTGATCGATTTAAAAAGACTAAAATACCCTTACTGATTATTTTAATTGTTTTCTTTATTCAAAAGTTATAATATTGTTTAATTCCAAATGATTATCACTAAAAGTCACCTTGATTATTGGTTTGTAGTAATATATTTTTAAGTCATCGTAGCAGTTTGTTTTTTTAAGTGTTGTCATAGTAGTTACGGATCAATAAATGCAAACTTCGTAAAACATGGTAATATGGTTAACATTTAATTTGAAAGAGAATTTAGTAAGTACCTAAAATACCCCTTCATAACATAAAACTAAAGAAGTTTATGAACCAATATGTAAATTTAGAAAGAAAAAAAAAATCTCTGTAAAAGATAACTATTCGACTTCTCTACGTCAACAAAAAAGATAACAATAACATGTTTACATCTTTTAGATTAGACGTAGTAAAAAAATAAAAATTTATTCTATATAGACAAAAATACCCCTCATATTATTCAACAATCAACAAGTTGTTCTCCATTAATCCTTCTCCAACGGTTGGGTATTCGGGTGATAGGGCCCACTCTCCATCCACCAAGAACTTAATTTCATACCTTCATTATGCAAATTAATACATTTATCAAAATAACTGAAACGGACAAAATTACACATTTGGTCCCTATAATTACCAAAAAGACCAAGGCATGACATTTTGAGGAATTTTGGACACAAGGGGTGCTTTTCATGTTTAAAATGAACAAAGGAGATCCTTTTATCTTTTTATCTAACTCTCTTAATTTTTTCAGTTAAGTTCCATATGAAATGATATATTTTCCCTTTCTACTACAAGGACCATTTATGTAATTTTGTCTATTATTTATTAATTCCAAAATGAATTATTTTCAAAAAACATTAGCACCAAAAATTAAATTTTTAGTAAGTCGTTCGTTTTGCACTAATAAAAAAATAAACACTCGTATAAGGCTCACCAGATAAAACAAAACTTTATCAAATACAGACACACATCATTACTCACATGTCATGTCATGTCAAACAATGTTATTATTTTTACCTTCCAGGTCTAAGCATTATAGATGTAGAAAAGCTCGTGTAAGAACCAGTATACTCTGCCGATAAATCTTCTCCATGACTCCATCCATCAAAAGACCCCATAACTTGCACACTCTTAAAAAAAAAAAAAAAAAAGTTGTTAACTCATTATATTATTATATGTTAAAAGAATTTAAATACAAAAATTTAAAAAGATATAATTATAAAAAAAAAAAGATGATTTTGTTTTATTGTCGTAACACACACACCTCTGCCATACCATACCAGTGTAACGACACCTCTTTCGATTGTGCAAGTTCGACTTCTTTAATTTGTTTCTTTAATTTCTCTTGAACACCTTTTTTTTTACGCATTAAAACAATAAGAAACATGGTTTTGTAAATTTGTTTTTGTTATAAAAAAAAAAAAGTGTATAAAATTATCGAACCTTGTAATTGTAAAAGAAGAAGAGATTGAATGTATTTCCCATTTATTTTTCTTGAACCAGCTGGAATGCCATAACTAACAATTTCTTTTGCCATATTTAATAATCCCTGAATAATATAATTTTATAATAATAAAGAGGCATAGTTACACAAATATTAAATTCATTTTTAATTAAGTTAATGGACATAACCTGAATCTCAAGTTCTGTTACAGCAAGTTCACTTTTAAACTCAGCCAAAGCCTCTTCTCTCACAAGTAACTACAAATAGATGTAATTTTAATTAAAACTCAAAAGAGTATATAAAATTTGTTTTAGTTATTAAAAATTTATAAGTATTTTAGTTAAAAGATTACAAAATAAAAGACCTGACGTTTGAGATAACGATTGTGTTGATTAGCTTCACTCAACTTTCTTAAAAGCTTTGCCCTTTCAGCATTAGCAAGAAGTGCCTTTAACTATAAAGAAAAGTTATGTTTAAACCTTAATAAAAAAAAAAAAACATCACATTGCAAATAAAAAAAGAACATATACATACTTGATCATTGTCGATTGGTTGTTCAAGAACATGTTCATCGTCACCATTTGAGTTTTTTTTGGATTGAAGTGATGAAGATTGTTCATTAAGAGTGGGAGGAAAACAGAGTAGTCTACAATGGGGATAACGAATAACATTTCTTATATATTGAAATCCATGAATGCTTCTATTTGGCCACAAAATCCATGATATTTGTTTGTTTCTGCATCGACTGAAGAAAGATGATAGAAAGTGGTAAAGAATTAAAGAAAGAAAGCAAATAATTTTATAATCTGTGTTGAATATCCAGAATATATAAGAGAAATATAAAGTCTTACCCAGATAACAATCCTTGTATTGATGTACTCATTGTATAACACTCCATGATGCACTGTTAGAAACAAAAGAAAGGAAATTATTGGCTAAATTAATAAATAATTGGTGGTTATTGAGACGATTACAGTCCATATTCAAAGATTTGCGATGAAATTGGGTTAATTTGCTTTGATTGCGACTCTGATTTTGGGGGAAAAGAAGTCGGACTTCCTCAAGTTAATCGGAAGCAAGTGAACCCTAGAATTGTGAACTATCAATTAGCTAAAACGGAAGAAGGTTTGTAATTGGCATTTTATCAAACACGTTGAATACACTAAAATCGTATATGAAATTAATAGTGAACTACTTAACATCATCATAGAAATCAGAAATTGATTTCAGAATTAGGAAAAACTCACCTACGATTACGAGCCCACAAATATCCGGTAGTCGGCTGCTGTGATTTGAGTGCCTCTCGTTTGAACGGCGTACGTCGACTTCATAGATTTCTGGTATAAAGATTATGTGAGGCAGTGAACGGGAGGGAAGCAGAGCATGGTGTGACACGTGTTAGGCTATTTATTGGCCGTCGGATTGTTAATATCCGATTTTACCGTTTACTTTAATCTACAAAACCTTCATTAAATATATGTTTTACAAGGCTAATTCAAACATCTTCTATTATATTTATATCCTAAAAGTTATATCTTTAGTGAATGGCATTTTTTGGAAAGTCGAAGTTTTGTAATAGTACAAAAATCAGGATTAAATTTTTTATTTTTAGTTAAGCAAAAAGATTACAATAGTCACATTGTTTCAAAACTATTTAATAATAATAGTGTCAAATCATAGAGTAAAATGTCAGAACACAAAATTTTTGAGAGAAGTGAATATTGGGCCATCAGGTTGGACACTTCTCATTAGTATCAGAAGTATCTGAAATCACAATATAAATTGTAAGCAAAAGTTTAGTGAGTTTTTCTATAACATCCATAAAATTTTATAAAATTTAAACTTTTAAAAACAACAATTTTTCTATAGAAGTGCTTACAAAAACCATTGTTCCCAAAACATTATTTAAAATCAGAATCTTTTTCAACATAGTTTTTAAAAACATTCACATTATCAGAGTTTTCCAAAAATTATAAGTCCAAAACGTGAGGATGTGTACAGTCACGCCTTTACCGTGTCATAATCTACTGAAGTACCTAAAACCATAAACCAAAAATGTAAGCACGAAGCTTAGTGAGTTCCCCCAAAGTACCAACACCCAAACACATAACATATACAAATAGCAGCATACTATGGGTCCAATCAACCATCGAGTTGGAATACTATAGGCCCTCAACCATCGGGTTTGAATGCCAACATACTATGGGTCTAGTCAACCATCTGGTTGGAATACCCAAGGCCCTCAACCATCAGGTTGGTATGCTAACATAATATGGGTCCAATCATCCTCGGGATGGATTACCCTGGGGCCCATTCAACCATCGGGTTGGAATGCCCTAGCCTGTTGGTGTAACTTACACACAAAGGAGTGAAGCCTCAGGCACCGACCAATCATGTACACATATAACAGATAATCATATGACAGCCTACAGCCAAACAAGCAGATCTATAGATTAATAAGAATAGCAACATCCTATCTACCAGTATACTGATCTAACAGATCATAACAACATAGCAACATCCTATCTACCAGGATACCGATCCAGCAGGTCATAACCGCATATCAACATCCTATCTACCAGGATACCAATCTAACAGATCATAACAACATAGCAACATCCTATCTACTAGGATATCGATCTAACAAATCATAACAATACAATAACATGTATAATAGGGTATCAATCCAATGGGTCGGCATTAGTTCTTTCGACCCACAAGCACAGTGAGGACAACTTACCTCGAATGCAGAAACTCTACAAAAGAAATCCCTAGCTACTGCCTTGCTGGCTTCCCGAGCTATCAAACCCAACAATACACCCAATTAGCAATTGGGTGACACGCTATAATCTGTAATCCCTAATCCCAAAGTACAATGAGGACAACTTACCTCGAATGCAGAAACTCTGCAAAAGAAATCCCTAGCTGCTGCCCTGCTGACTTCCCGAGCTATCAAATCCAACAATACACCCAATTAGCAATTGGATTCCACGCTATAATTCGTAACCCTTACTTGGGTAAAATGACAATTTTACCCGGGACCCAATGTGATAACACAAAATTTAGGGCTATTATTATAACCGTCAATCTATCTGTGAATATGGTGTTGTCCGAATTACTGAGTTTTAGTGTATCTTAAGTAAAATAAATAAGTTTATCGTAACTATTATATGATGTCAGATGATACCTTACTTCCAAATGTGTAAATTGTAAACTGAATCAAACCGCTTAAACAACGTGAATTAATGCATTAGAAAAAAAAAAATCAAATTTTACATTAAGCAGTTTTGAGCAAAACAAACATTAAAATATTATAGTACATGTTCCCCTGTTTCCGAAAATATAAAGAACATCCAAAACGGAGTTCGTATGCAAAAGATACGACAATTTTAAGAAAACAGACAATATAACACTTTTTTATTTAATCGCGTAAAACCGAATCGATCCGTTGAGACACTTAAGCTTTGCCGACGGGATTTTCGAGAGTGTTTTTGGACTCAGGTTATAGTCTATTATTTAATTTCACACTCGAAATATTTTTAACAACAATATTTACAAAAGTTGCGAAAACGGACACTGCGAGCCGTTTAGACGCAAACTCATGAAACACCATTTCCCTGAGATCTGTAACTCTAAAAATTAATTTGTTTGAGGTTTTGGAATTCTTGAATTAAACTCTTTCTAACGGTATTCTCGAAAAAAATTCTCGATACACAGTTTCCGATGCACCAAAATTGGGGTGTTTTTTAGCACCTAATGGAGGTATAACCCATGTGGGACCCACATGGGATGACAGACTTCAAAAATCATATTTTTCTTACCTTGATCACGTGGGATTACTTCTCCTTCTCCTCTCCTTTCCTTTGTGTACAAGTTTCACCAAACTAGTACATTGCTAGGTTGGAAGTATGGCCACAAAGAGTGTGTGTGACCCTCTCTTACTATAAATAGGAAGTTTGGGTTCCTCCTTCAAGACACCAATCTCCAACTCTTTTCTCTATTCTCTAAAGAGCACTAAATCTCTCTAAACCACCCTACCACTCACTGCCACCATCGGAAAATACCATCCCTAAGCCTTGATTGCTGTAGTTTTCGATCCCTAAAGGTCCCTCCCCTCTCCCTTCATTGGAACCAGTCGAGATCAGCAAGAAAAAGATGGCAAAAGGACCACCGGCGTAGTCTCCTGCCCCTCCGTCACCTTCACTGTTGCTGCTGCTTTAAATCATCGACCACCACCACCAGCTGCCACCTCCAGCCACCCCTTCTACTATAAGCCTTCACCAACACCTCCTTTACACATTTCGTTTGTGGTCCATAGAGTTTCATCGATCAGAATAAACAAAAACAATTGTTTTTCTCTTTTTGAATGCCCGTAGACAATGGCGGATCTAGTATGTATCATGAGGTAGCCTGAGATGCCCCTCAAAAAATATTAGTAGTGTAATTTGTTATTGAATATTTTTTTCTTATTGTGTATTACACGATTTTTTTTGTCGGGAATACCCCTTTACTTATTGGGGATACCCCTTTACTTCGATCATGGATCCGCCACTGCCCATAGATGAACGAACACATGATGCTAATACCCCTGTGAATGCAAGGATCATATAAGTTACTGTACAAACTTCCTTTCAAAATAAATACATACGGTCCCTTAACTTCGAATTTGTTCAGCTTAGGTCCCTCCCTCTCAAAAACTACTTTCAAATCTAGTCCTAAACACCTAAACTATCATTTAAAATGTTCAAAACATACCCTCCGATAAAAATCCTTTTCAAAACAAATACAAAGCACACGAGTGTTCGTTTTAATTATTTAAATGACACCCCCTTCATGTGTTTTGTTTAATCAGTCTATGGACAAAACTTTCATTTTAATTATACATATTTAATGTAACACCGTAAAATTTAAAACAAAATTTCACATTTTTAAACACATTTTTCCAAAAACATTTATCAACAAAATCCCATTGTATCATACTTTTGTTTCACAAAATATTTCCCAAGATCAAAATACATAAAAATCCATACGTGTGTAGGAATCATGCCGGCGCCTTCCCGCGATCATCACTGGAACCTGAAACACATAACACATAACACTGTAAGCATAAAGCTTAGTGAGTTCCCCAAAATATCGTACATAACACATACTAGCCACTCGAGGCTATAACTCTGTTGGCCCGTGGGCCCTAACTCTATGGACCCTGTGGTCCTAACTCTGTGAACCTTTCAGTTTTAACTATGATATACTCTGACATACACATGATATAAGCCACATAGAAATAATGCAGTACAACACATCACATAATAGCATACGATAACTTTGTCACATATCTCTAATTACCACTTAAGGTAAAGTATAGTGAGAAGACTCACCTCAGATGTCCCGGTAAATCACTAACTGGGTAGAAATATGATTTAGCCTCCGCCTAAACACATAAAGTAATACTCTTATAAATATAACTCTCAGTCAAAGACCATTTTACCCCTCCTTTGGCTCAAAGGCCCTCATTGTTGACGAAACCCTAAAAGTCAACCAAAGTCAACGGTCAAACTTTGACCCGACTCGTCGTGTCTACATGTGTCCACTAACTCTTTTAGTCCTGTTTAACATGTCGAGTCCCTCCCTTTACTCGATGAGTCCCCAGGTATGAATCGTGGGGCCACCCTGACTCAACTCGCCGAGTCTCAAGAACAACTCGGCGAGTACATGCCATGCACAAACTCCATTGACCTCCTGAGGTCAGATCTGTTCCTCTAATCCATAAATCTGGCCTTTCCAAGCATAGTAATCACGTAAAGTCCAGACCTTGACACTCATATATCATCTAGATGGTCTCATTTGGTGATTTAGCCCCAAAAATGACATTCTAAGCTCATAACTCCCAAAATAAATCATAAAGCTCCAAGGGTTAAGGTCTCTAGACCTCTTTGAGTCCAGATCCAAAGCATAATTTAGAGAAGGGACCAATTGCTCCACATAACCATCCTCAAAAGAGGTTAGAAAACCCTAACTCTAAGAATCAATTCCAAAAACTGAAGAAGGTCCGAATAAATACCTCAAGTTGAAGTCTCTGGACTCTGAAACCACTAGAATCACACCTCCTTCAGTCTCCTCTTGCTCTTGATCACATTCTTCTTGCTAAACCAAAGATAGAAAGATCAAATATAGCTTCTCCTTCCTCCCAAACGATTTAGCTCACTTAGGGTTCTCTCAAGGCACTGGTAGCCGCAATGGGGGGACTATAAGTGCCCTTAAATAGGCTCCAACCCTGGGGGATTAGGGTTTCACTAAACAGCGTGGACTCGCCGAGTCCACTAATGGACTCGACGAGTCCAGTCGTGAACCCGGATGATAATCCGCGACCCTACTCGGTGAGTCTAAGCATCAACTCACCGAGTTCCTTCACAAATTCCAAAAATAAAATATTACAATAATATACCTGGGAATCCGGATGTTACAATTCTCCCCCACTAGAATCAAACTTCGCCCTTGAAGTCTCATTCTGCAAACAGCTCTGGATGCTGATCACGCATCTCGCGCTCCGGCTCCCAAGTCAGCTCTGACCCTTTCCGATGATGCCACTGCACCTGCACCTGAGGCACTTCCTTGTTCCTCAGAACCTTGACCTTTCGATCTATAATTGCCACCGGTATTTCAACATAGTTCACACCCCACATCCACATGAATATCCTCTAACGGTACCACTGCTGACTCGTCGGCTATACATTTTCTCAACTGCGACACGTGAAAAGTGTCGTGAATCTGACTCAACTCTGCGGGTAGCTCCAAATGGTAGGCTATCCTGACTACTCTCGTGATCACCCTAAAAGGCCCAATATATTGAGGCCCCAACTTGCCACTCTTTCTGAATCGGATCACTCCTTTCCAAGGAGAGACCTTCAAGAGTACGAAGTCACCGACCTGAAACTCGAGCTCGGACCGACGCCTGTCCGCATAACTTTTCTGATGACTCTGAGCGGTCAACAACCTCTGTCTGACCTGCTGTATCTGCTCAGTTGTCTGAAGCACAATCTCCGTACTACCCATCACATGTTGCCCTACCTCTCCCCAACAAATGGGGGTCTGATAACTCCTCCCATACAACAGCTCAAAGGGTGGCATACCAATGCTTGAATGATGGTTGTTGTTGTAGGAAAACTCTACCAAAGGCAAATATGTGTCCCAACTCCCGCCGAAATCCAACACACATGCTCAGAGCAAGTCCTCGAGCATCTGGATCGTCCGCTCGCTCTGCCCATCAGTCTGTGGGTGGTATGTGGTACTAAAATGTAGCCTTGTACCCAACTCTTCATGAAATTTCTTCCAGAATCTGGAAGTGAAATGCACATCTCGATCTGATACAATCGAGATCGGCACTCCATTCCGCAACACCACCTCCCTCACGTACATCTCTGCCAATTTCTCTGCGGAAGAGCTCTCATTGATAGCAAGGAAATGAGCTCTCTTCGTCAACCGGTTTACAATCACCCAAATTGCATCGATGCCCCTCGCAGTCCTTGGCAATTTGGTGATAAAGTCAATAGTAATCTGTTCCCACTTCCACTCAGGAACCTCTAACGGCTGTAACTTACCATGCGGTCTCTGTAGTCGGCCTTAACCCGGTGACAGGGTTAGGCACCTCTCAAAGAACCACCCAATGTCCCTCTTCATACAGGGCCACCAACACTCCCTCTTTAGGTCTAAATACATCTTAGTGGCCCTGGGCTGGATCGAGAACTTCGATCGATGTGCCTCTTCCATCAAAATGGTACGCGTTCCGCCCACAAATGGTACCCAAATCCGACGTTGAAATGTCATAAGTCCCCGACTATCGGTAACGAACTCCGATACCTGCCCGATAACTAGCTCGCTCTTTTGGTTTTCTAGTCTCATAGCCTCAGCCTGGGCCCCTCGAATGGTGTCCAACACGGAGTCATAACAGTCAATCTCATACAAACGTCTCACATCGGGACGCTCTCCATCCTATGGCTCAGGGCATCGACTACCACGTTAGCCTTACCCGGGTGGTACAGGATCTCACAATCATAATCCTTTACCACATCCAACCATCTCCTCTGCCGCATGTTCAGGCTGGGCTGATCCATCAAGTACTTCACGCTCTTGTGATCCGTGTCTATGGTACACTGGACCCCATACAGATAGTGATGCCAGATCTTGAGGGCGAACACCACTGCCCCCAACTCTAAATCGTGGGTGGGATACCTCGCCTCATGAGGCTTTAGCTGCCTCGATGCATATGCTATCACGTGCCCCCTTTGCATAAGCACCACTCCCAACCCTGATATAGACGTATCATAATATACCACGAAGTCCTCCATTCCCTCCGAAAGGGCTAACACCAGGGCTTCGCATAACCTCTAACGAAGTGTCTCAAAGGAGGTCTGCTGCTCTGGGCCCCATGAGAAAGCAATGCCCTTCCGGTTCAACTTGGTGAGTGGCACGATGATCTTCGAGAAATCCCTGATAAATCTCCGATAATAGCCTGCCAATCTTGGGAACTCCTGATCTCCGTGGGTGACCTCGACACCTCCCAACTCATCACCACCTCAATCTTGGCCGTATCGACCAATATCCCTTTCTGGTTAACGAGATGCCCTAGGAACTAGACCTCTCGTAACCAAAAATCACACTTGGAGAATTTGGCGTAAAGCCTCTCCAATCTCAAAACTCCAAGGATCTCTCTCAGATGTTCCTCATGCTGTTCTTTGGATCTCGAATACACCAATATGTCGTCAATGAACACGATCACCGAGCGATCCAACATCGGCCTACACAGTCTGTTCATGAGGTCCTTGAACACCGTCGGTGCATTAGTGAGCCCGAAAGGCATCACCACCAACTCGTAATACCCGTAACGAGTCCTGAACGTTGTCTTCTGGATGTCCTCATCTCGCACCCTCACCTGATGATATCCCGACCTCAAATCGATCTTGGAGAACCAAGATGCTCCCTGTAACTGATCGAACAAATCATCGATCCTCGGCAACGGGTAACGGTTCTTGACCGTCAGCTTGTTCAATTCCCTGTAATCAATGCACATTTGGTGTGAGCCATCCTTTCTCTTAACAAAAAGGATAGGCGCTCCCCATGGCGAACTACTCGGCCGAATAAACCCCTTCCCGAGCAGCTCCTGAAGTTGCGAGGATAACTCTTGCATCACTGGAGCGCGCAAGGAGATAAGGTGCCTTGGCGATAGGCACAGCCCCCGGAACCAAATCAATGTTGAACTCAACCTGCCTCTCAGGAGGCACACCTGGTAAGTCTTCTGGAAATACGTCCGGGAACTCACGCACTATCGGAACCTCATCAAATGACCTCGGTCTCTCTGAACCAACCCTCATATCCATCACATATGCTACAAATCCCTTACAGCCCTGTTATAGACTCTGTCTCGCTCTAGCGGCTGAAAAAAATGCCGACCCAACACACGTACCCTCACCGTACACGGTAAGAACTCCCCCACTAGGGTCTCGTATGGTCACCAGCTGTCTCTCGTAGACGGTAACTGCTCCAAACTTGCTCAACCAGTCCATGCCCACGATGACACAAACATCTCCAATCGCAATAGGAACTAGATCAATCG